CAGGAGCAGCGCTGTGGGAGCCAAAGCAGAGATCGGGTGATTTGTCCTCTAATCGTCCTCACTTGTGAGTCATATTCTTATTGTCAGAAGGTCAGAAAAGGTGTTTCTGTAACAAACCAGCCATGCTCACTGTGAAAAGGTAAAGACACGGGTGACACTGAGCCTGAGGAGGGCGTGGAGAAGTTCTCACAGCTGAGCACGGTGCCCTAAAACCTCCTGTTCTTGGTTTGGCAGGATGACATCTCCTCCTTCCCAGAGGAACCACCCAACTTCAAGCCTCCTCCTCCTCCCGCAGCCCCTCAGTTGCTGGACCCCTCAGCTGCCCAGCCCAGGAACCCGGGGAAGGACAAGCCCAAGCGTCCCTCCTCTGAGTCCTCCCAGTCAGGCCTTTTCTTCGTGGCCCCCCGGAACCCCTCGCCCCCTCCCAGCGCTCCCGAGAAGGACACGGTCAGCGTGACCTCCACCGCCACCACCTCCACCGAGGATTCCTCCCCCAGCGCCATCTACGCCACCATCTCCCCCTCCCTGCACGGCTCCCGCAGGCAGATGGATGCCCAGCTCTCCCTGGTCACCCAGCACCCCATCGGGCCCTTCCCCAGGGTCCAGTCCCCCACCAGGTTGAAGAGCCCGTCCCCGGAGGCTGGAGGGATCCGGAGCCCCCCGTCCCCATCCCCTCCTCCTCCTCCCACCCACCCAGCGCCCCCTCCCCCGGACAAGGGCAGCCCCCAGGCCGTGGCCAACCAGCACTTCATCATGGTGGAGGTGCACCAGCCCAACAGCGAGCCCGACGTCAACGAAGTGAGGCCCCTGCCCCAGGCCAGAGGTGGGTGGCACCTGCTCCTTGAGGGAGAAATGGGGGAGGAGGCAGATCTGCCCCTGAGATGGAGCCCCTCTGCTCTGAATCCAGGCTGGGAGAGCTGGGGGGGTTCACCTGGAGAAGAGAAGGCTCCAGGGAGAGCTGAGCGCCCCTTCCAGGGCCGTGGGTCCCTTGGAGATGGAGAGGGAAAGGGGGGTCATGGAGAGTCTCTTGGAGATGGAGAGGGAAAGGGGTACAGGGGGATCCCAGGGGATCCCTTGGAGGTGGAAAGGCAAAGGGGTATGGGGCAGATGTCCCTTGCAGATGGAGAGGGAAGGGGGGTCCTGGGGGTCCCTCAGATGTGGAGAGGAGGGAGTGTGGTCCTGGAAAGTTCCCCGGAGATGGAAAGGGGTCCCAGGGGGTCCCTCGCAGATGAAGAAGGGGGATCCCAGGGAATCCCTCGCAGATGAAGAAGGAAGCGGGTCCCGGGGGATCCCTCGCAGATGAAGAAGGAAGGGGGATCCCAGAGAAACCCTCGTAGATGAAGAAGGTAGGGGTCCCGGGGGTGCCCGGAGGGTCCTGGGGGTAATCCCGGCCCCCCTCGCCCTGTGGGACCGACACGAGTGGCAATGTCGCCCTCGTGTGGCCCCGTCCCGTCACTGCAATGGGCTCATTAACGGCGGGTTAATGAGGGCGAGGGGCGGCCGGGGTCAGGTCCTGCCCGGGGGTGTCCGCAGAGGGACCCCAACTCCTGCGAGTGCCAGAGCCGCTGTCCTGGGCACCCAGCGCTCCCTGCTGTTCCTGGCATTCCCAGAGTCGCCATCTGCACTTGGTGTCTTTATTCTGGAAGACAAGAAAGCTCCCTTATGGCAGCGCCTCTTTGGTCGGGTCCGTCCCAGTCTCCTCCCCCCTGGAGCATGGTCTGGATAAACGGGCCTCTGGCAGGATCCCGGGACTCATCACTCTCTCCCTCCATCCCGGTTTGGGATCTGGGTTGGATCCTGGACCTGAGTATGAGGCCACTTGTCCCCTGACGAGTGCACAGCTCTGTCCTTGTGCCAGGAGGGTGGAGCCAGGTGGGGGGGTCAGGCTCTTCTGCCAGGTGACAGGACAAAACGAAATCCCCTCAAGCTGTGGAGGTTCAGGTTGGATGTTAGTGAAGGTTTCGTCAGTGAAAGGGTGGTCAGGCGCTGGGACAGCTGAGCAATTGCGTGATTCGGATGCCTGGGAGCCTGGCTCTGAAGCCCAGGTGTCAATCCCGGGGCACCTGCCCAGCCCTGGGAGCTGCCCTGGGAGCTGCCCTCGCCCCCTGCGTGCCCGGCCGGCCCCGGGGCCGCGCTGCCCGCCCTCTAACCCGCGTGTCTCCCCAGCCTCCACGCTCTCCCAGCTGTCGGACAGCGGGCAGACCCTCAGCGAGGACAGCGGGGTGGACATCGGGGAGCTCGAGAGCAGCGGCAAGGACAAGAGCCGGCAGCCGGGCCCTGGGAAAAGCCGGAGCCTCAAGGAGGCCGCGAGGAGCGAGGGGGCGGCAGAAGGGGCCTCCAAGCCGGTGAGGGCCCGGGGAGGGGGATGCTGGTTGTGGGAGGGGGCACCTGGGGCTGTCCCCCCACTGCCTCGTCCGGCCAGTGCTGCTCCCTCCTCCCCACCGGGCAACAACTGCTCTTCTGTGCTTCGAGGGGTTGTTCATCCTCTGTGATGAGCTGAGTGAGCTCTCTGGTGGGCTGAGCCATGGGGAAGGGGGTCAGGAGTGGCTGAGATGGGCTCTGTAGGGCTGATTCACTCCATGATGGGTAAATCCAGTCCCTCCCAGCTCCAGCAAGCAGCTACAGGGGGCATGGCAGAGTCCCTGGCTCTGAGGGAACATCCCCAGGGCGCAGTGAAGTCACCTGTAGCCTGGAAGGGAAGGTGGCAGCAGATATCAGATGTAAACTGGAATGTTTCTGATGGTGGCAAGGCAAGGGGCATAGGTGGGCAGGCAGAGAGCTGTTCTTCTCTTCCTCAAGTTCTTGCAGCCCTGGCCGTGGTTGGGATCTTGTCTGTCAGAAGTCAGGGAGCAAATGCAGGCTGTGCCTGTCCCTCTCCAGTGCCCCTGCCTGCTGTGGGGCCCTGGCCACGGGAGCACAACGGGCACACAGTGCCCAGCCTCCCTCAGCAGTGCCCTCTCTCCCCACAGCCAGGGCTCCTGGAGCCCACGTCGTGTCTGATCCGGGTGTCCAAGAGCGCTCCCACCTTGGGCATCGCCATCGAGGGCGGAGCGAACACGCGGCAGCCGCTGCCCCGCATCGTCACCATCCAGGTAGGGTGGGCTGGGAACGGGAATAACTCCATGAACATCCCATCCCTCTCCCCCATGGACAGGCTGGGAAAGCCTTTGAGCCACGGCCAGAGCATGGGGGGGGGCGGATTTTGGAGGTGCTTCCCCCTCCTACAGCCCTGCACGTCCCCAGGCATCATCCTGCTGTGGGCGTTTGCGTCCGTGTCCCGTGGATGATCCCACACCATAACAGACATCCTGGGAGCCAGTGATTTGCTGCAGACATTTCAGGGGGAGTCAGGGCAGCCCTGAAAGCTTGGCTGTTGCCTCCAGATGTCTGGAAACTCCCAGACAGAGGATTGGGGAGGGGGAGTGGTGGATGAGAGCCAGACAACTGAGCCCTCCAGAGCTGTCTCCCTGTTTGCTGTTTACTTGGGGCAAAATTCAAGTTATTTACAGCAAAAGAAAAGCAGAGCTGACTGTGCCTTGGTTATTCTTGGCCACCCCAGCTGGCGCCACGCTCCAGGAGCAATCAGGAGGGGAGCCAAATTCATCCCCTCTCTCCAAAAAGCGAAATATCTCATATCCATCACGTTCCTTCACCGGTTCAGGGTGATCACGAGGGATACGAAATATATCCCCTTTTTTTTTTTTTTTTTTTTTTACCCCAAAAAACCACCTGGGTTGACCCAAGGGGGGGGATGGTGGGAAGGTGAGCTGACCACCTCTCTCCTGCAGCGCGGGGGGTCGGCACACAACTGTGGGAAGCTGAAGGTGGGCCACGTCATCCTGGAGGTGAACGGCACAGGGCTGCGAGGCAAAGAGCACCGGGAGGCCGCCCGCATCATCGCTGAGGCCTTCAAGCTGAAGGACAAGGACTACATTGACTTCTTGGTCACAGAATTCAACGTGGCCCTTTAGGGATGGCTCTTGGGAGCGTGGAGTGGGATGGGGATGAAGGACAGCGCCGAGGTGTGAAGGAGGTCCCACCACGCAGAGCCCGCGCACGCAGACACCCCCAGCTTGTCCCCAGATGTCCCCTCGCCTGCTGTGGACTCACTGCCTGGGTAGGGCAGGCTGAGAACGGGCAGAAATCACTGCACATCCCTCAAAAGTCTCCACCCTGTCCTGTCTGGGTTAGGGAAAACACCCTCTCCCCCTCTGCCAGGCAGGAGGACGGCAGAGGTCTGGGTGTCCCCGCTGTCATTTGAGTGCCACACACACAGCAAGGTGGGCCCGTGGCTCAGGCTGGAGGGGTTTTGGGTGGTGGCTGCTCCCTTGGGTGCTCACCCCCTGTGCCCAGGTGGGACAGGCCACGGGTGGGGAGGCAGAGAGAGCAATTGGAGGCCTTGTAAATCGCTGGCAACGTCGTCGTATTTATATATACAGAGCTTGTGCTTTTAATTTTTCAATAAATCTATCAGGGTAGAAAAGGGCTGTGGTTGGGGGGGGGGGTTCTTGAGGGCTGGGATGGGGGGGGGAAGAAGGAGCAGGGGTGACTGTGGGGCTCCCCAGGGCCGGCAGGGCAGGTGCTGGGCTGGGAGGGGATGCTCCATGTCAGCCCCATCCCGTCTGCATCCAATCCCATCCCATCCCTTCCCATCCCATTCCCAGCGATCCCGGGGGACGGGCAGGAGCAGCGCTCCAGCAGGGGGCGCCCGCGCTGCATAAATTATTTAAATGAGGCCCGTCTTCTGCGGCTCTGATTGGTCGCGCGCAGCAAGCTATGCAAATACAGCGGGGGGCGGGGTTTATGCTAACGACATCCCGCTCCCCGCCTGGCGGCGGGCGCCGATTGGTCGGGAGCGGCGGGTATGCTAATGAGTGGAGGCCACGCCCCCCGCCGCGGGCCGCGCTATTGTCCGGTGGGACCGGGATCGGGATCGGGATCGGGACCGGGATCGGGATTAGGATCAGGATCGGGACCGGGATTAGGATCAGGATCGGGACCGGGACCGCCCAGCGTCGCTCGGGCCCTCCATGCAGGTGGGCAGCGCGGGGCTCTCGCCGTTCGAGTGGGAAGGGGGGGGTTGCCCCTCCAGCGGTGCCCCAGGGCCAGATGTGCCCCAGCTGTGCCCGGGGGGGCCGGGAACGGCTCGGCTGCTCCCTGCTGCGGGGGAGAGGAGCAGGGGGCCCCCGCGGCGCCGCTGGAGGCACAGCTGGAAGCACAGCCCGGGGGCCCGCGGGGCTGGCTCCATCCCCGGGGCCGCATCCAGCGCTCCCCGGGAGAATCCAGCGCTCTAAGCCCGGCTTAGGCAGCTAGGAGCCGGTTGGGAGTCTCTGGGCGGAGCGGGGGGAACTCTCGGGCCCTCCGGAGTCCTTGCGGCCGAGGAGAAGGGACGCGCCGGGAGGATGCGGGAGGCACCAGAAGGATGCGGGACACGCCGCTCCTCGCCGAGGCGTGTCCTCCCCACGCCATCCGAGCCTCCGTGGCCCCGGGAAACTTGTCATAACTTTCCTCATCGCGGTGCCTCCTCTCCGCCGGGCCCGGAGGGTTCCGGGCGGGTCCGTCGGGGGCTGCGGGGGCGGCTCGGAGCCGCTGCCGGGGCTCGGCGGGGACTGCGGGACCCGGGGCCGAGACGCTGCCTGAGGCTCCTCCGAGGAAGTCGCAAGGGCAGCTTTCAGCTTCAGTTCCGTGTTTTATTTAAAGGGCAGCCGTGTTCCTGATAGCCGGTGGGTGCCAGTTCTGCAGCACCCTTTCCGTGCCTTCCGGGCAGGGATGTTTTAAGGGCTCGCGGAGGGGGAGGAACTCGGTGCACTGTCCATACAGGCTGGGAGAGCTCGGGGTGTTCAGCCTGGACAAGAGAAGGCTCCGGAGAGACCTTAAAGTCCATTCCAGGGCCTAAAGGGGCTCTAAGAGAGCTGGAGAGGGACTTTGGACAAGGGATGGAGAGACAGGACAAGGGGGAATGGCTAAACTGAAGGAGAGGTTAAAATTTGATTTGGGGAAGGAATTGCTCCCTGTGAGGGTGGGCAGGCCCTGGCACAGGTTGCCCAGAGAAGCTGTGGCTGCCCCTGGAGACCTGGAAGTGTCCAAGGCAGGGTTGGACGGGGCTTGGAGCAACCTGGGATAGTAGTAGGTGTGTCCCTGCCGTGTCCCTGCCACCTCTCCCTGCCCTGTGCTAATTAGGGCTCCCAGTGCCACCGGCTGTGCCGCGGGGACAGCGGCAGCTCTCTCCAGACAGGGATTAAGTCTGTCCTTCACGGGCATTATGGGCCATCCACCCCCGGCTGCTGCAGGTATGTTTGGGTTCCACCCCGGGGGGGGACACCTGGGCTGTCCCCGGGGAGAACAGGAGGGTCTCTAAGCTAAGGAAGAGGAAAGAAAATGTCTGCAGGAGTTCCCTGTCCTGCCGTGGGGCTTCATTTCGAGGCAAGTGATGGAGAGATGCCGTTTTCATGGGGTTTTGGTACCTCTCCATGGGGATATGCCAGCGTGGGGGAGCTGGGGGCAGGTTTGGCCCCTCCAGACAGTGGAATTTGGGTGACACGTTGGCTTTATAGCCCTGATGTGATAACAGGCATGTGTTCTTTGAGAGGACAAGGGGGTTTGTGAGGCTCTTCCTCACTGTGACGGTCCCTCCCTTGTTCTGGTAGGAAATAATGCAAACCGAGAACGCAGCGTTTCCGCTCCTCTGCCCTCTTTCACGCTCAGAAAAACGGGACTCTGTGGGCTTTAAAAAAGGGTTTAATACACCAAGAATTCCTCCCTCCTGGAGTGCAGACACCCCTTGCCAAGTTCCAGCCTGAGGCCGTTCTGGCCTCCTCCAAACCTCCCCAGAAGAGATCCAAACATCCATCCCTCCCCCAGGACGGGGGATAAAGGGGGTCTGGGGCCCCCCTGCATCCCAGACAGGCACAGATGTGCAAGGGGGGCTTTAACCCCCTTCCCGGGCAAGTGATTTTTGGGGCACAGGGAAGGGAGGGTGACCCCCCATCGCTCAGGGGTCGTGGGGATGGAGGTGTGGGGTTTAGAGCCCCCCCAGCCTGCCTGCTCTGCCCAGGGTTGACAGGGCAGTGAAGGCAGAGTGACAGCAGCCCTGTCTGTCCCCTCCCCACACACGTGTCACCCAGCCAGCCCTGGGGCTGAGGATGCTCTGTCTCCTCTGCTGTCACCACGGATAAACCCAGGAGTGAGGATGGATCTCTGTTGGCCTCGATTGGGCTGCTGTTTCTCAGCCTCACACGTGTAATGAGTTGGGCGGTCTCAGCCTCACACCTCAGTCTGCACCACACGGGGTGGGATCACTGCCTGCATGTAGGATCAGGGATTAGGAGCTGAGGGCAGGGACAGGCAGAAAAAAAACCCCTCCTGTCTGCAGGCCAAGCAGAGCCCTGGCAGCACTCATCACTGCTGTGAGCACCCCCTCCCTCGGCCAGGCACCTCCACCCTGAGCCACAGTTTGGGACAGCCCTGGCTGAGATTTGGAGGGGCTGAGGGCAAAGCAGAGTTCAGGGGTTCAAGACTTTTTCTTGTTGAAGCTTTGCAGTGTCTTTTTTAGCTCCTTTTCCAATTACGTTGTTGCAAAATCCCGGCACTCAAAGAGCAAAATTTTTTAAAAATAATAAATATATAAACATATATTTTTTTGCATTTGCTTTGTGGCTCCTGTTTATGGAACCGCATTATTTCTCAGGCATTTCAGTGCTCCCATAACCCCCGGTGGTGTAGAGGAAAACACACTGCACTGTCACTGCAGAGACCCGGGTTCAATTCCCGGTCGGGGCCCCTCCCCGGGCAGATGGAGCTCGTTAGCCCTGTAAGGCAATCCATCTACGTCCTGAGGACCTCGCTGCCACCGTCCAAGCTCGCTTGGCCCCGGCAGATGAACCTCAGGATTAAAGGGTGGGCTCAGTTCCGCGCACACTGTGTCTCACCTAAAAAATCCAATGTGCAGGCTGGAAGGT